TTGTTCATTTTTTAAATGCAGGATTGATCTGTAACAGCTCTTTGTGTAGTAATGATAAACTCCTTCTTTCATATAATTGTCCAGCCTTTTACTGACTTTGATTTTTTTTTTAAATTTAGAACAGAATTTTAAATTTTATGTAGCTAAAGTTACTTATTTTTTTTCTTTGTAATTACTTTCATTTTTTACTTGTAGGTTCAGAAAATGTCCCCTTAATTCAAAACTAGTTAAATATATGCCTATATTTCTTGCATATCTTTGAGTCTAGTTCACCCTTTTAACCCTTTAGTCCATTTGAAATTCCTGCTGTGGTAACGGGCTTCAGTGTTATAAATTGGTACAGTCTAGAAAATGTTTTTGCAATTTATCAAAACTCACAAATGTCACAGGAAGGGAGGGGGATTGAGGGGGCATTGGGATGAAATAAAATAAAAATTTGGTATTCTGAACCCCAGTGATCCAATTTCTATGAATCTAACTCAGGAGAACAACTGGGCATTTCACCAAGGATTTCCATGGAGAAATAGTCATTCCAATGCTGTGTGTCATGGCAAAAACTGAGACTGACTTAAAAGTCTCTAATGGGTGGGGGAAAAGTAAGTTTTCCACAGCTATCTTCTCCCATTAGCCATTCACATTTAAATTCATTTAAATTAAATTACATTAAATTAAACTGAATTCATTGGTTGTAGCCGCTACATTTCCAAGTGTTCAATAGACCAGTGGCTACTGTACTGGACAGCACAGGTTCAGAACATTTATTCTTACAGAAGCTCTGTTGGAGAGGATGCTCTGTGGCAACTAAAATCAAGATTTAAAAGAATATTTAACAAGATACATTTATGATATGATGGTAAATCAAAACATCAGAACAAAACATATTTGGTGGTAACAGAAATGAAGGTTACTTGTAGTAACTTTAACCATCAATATCTTTGCTTTATGCTTGTCCAATGGAACATATATCCTGTCTTTGTGAAAAATTTAAAACAGAAGAGAGGAGAAAAGAAACAGAGAAGAAAAGGAAAGGAAGGAAGGGAGGATGGAAAGAAGGAAGATGAGCAAAAGGAAAGGGAAAGAGAAAGGAAAGAATCTGAAGATATAAAGGAGGTATACATGAGAATCAACATGTGACAAACGCTCAGTAACCATTCGTTATTTCAAAATCCAAGTGGACTTGTCATGCTACATACATGTAAGACCTAATGAACATAGCATTCTATGGCCAAGAGAGGCCTCAAGGAACTCATGATTATTCTTTATCTACATCTATTATCTGGACACCAAAATCATACAAACAATTTGGTCAGCAGATGCCACTTAAGAACTTGTAGTACAGAAAGCTAATAACTTTACAAAGTACTTGGTAAATATAGAAAGGCTGTGAGGACTCTCAAATATTAATAAATAATCAACCTCAGGGCTGGAGAGTTAGCTGAGTGCTGCCACTGCCTGCCTTGCAAGCCCAAGGTCCCGAATTCAATCCCCGTACCAATTAACAAACACACAAACAACCTCTATCAAGATGTACTTCATTTGAGTGTGATTAAAACTATGGGAAAAACTTGAGAAACTTGTAAGCAATTTGGACTCAGCCTTCCACTCAGAACAACTAAAAAAGCAGACCGTACGTGCATAAATTTTTTTAAATCTTGAAAGCATCAGAGAGTTAACAAAACAGTGAAAAAACTATCTAGGATAAGATGAAATTTTAAAGAAGTAAGCTAAGCATTTCAGATCACTTTCTTTTAAAGGCTGTTTGTCAAAGCCAAAGAGATGTCAAAGTCCGAGCATCACTTTTGCACCTTTGAGTGCCAAAAGCTGAAGTCCAGAGTCCACCATGGGTGGATGTTTTAGTGCAAAACAGAAATATGCCAGCACTGGAAAGGACTACAGACCAGTCTTGAGACCTCTGGGGTGCAGAGAAAACACTGAAGCCCTGAAAATTGACTAAAATGATCCCAGATTTTAATTTCCCCTGTCTCCAACAGAAACAAGCCAAAACTTTCTCTAGATGACCTGACCATCATCCCAGGGCTCGAGCTATTTCTACAAATTTTTAAGTATAAATGTCCATCGCACAAGCGAAGATACCTGTCCACACAAGAAGAGAAAACACAGGACCATAAATACAGCTCCTAAAAGATTCAAGAGTTTGGATTTACCAGACATAGACTTTAAAACAACTTGGAGGGAGGGAAGGAGGGAAATGGGGTGGATAAAAAAGAACTGAAGAAAAAAAAATGGAAATAAAACTTTTGCCAATGGGAAGGGGACCAAGAGGTGGAATAACCAGGGAGGGATGGGAAGGGTACAAGATGAAAGAATTAAAATGGATTATGTCAATACACTGATTCCCACAGAAGTGCAATTATTATGTACTGCCAACATGCACTAATAAAAGTAAATAGAATAACGAGGTGTATTGTACTTGAGAAAATAAAAACACATTATCAAAATGTTTATATTATCTGTAAAATAACGAAATATACAGCAGATATGAAAAAGAATGAAATAGAATTTCTAGAAATACCAAGTAAGTACAATAAATTTAAAAACTCAATGGGTGAGTCTAACAACAGATTAGATATATCTAAAGAGAATATTTGTAAACTGGAGGATAGGTTTTGAATGAAGCATGGAAAAGCAAGAGACGGAATGCATAGGAGAGAGCATGAAAAACACAGAAGTGAAGAGTCTTTAGGGTTGGGCTCACAAGCCAGGCGTGGTGGTGCATGCCTGTAATCCCAGCACTAAGGAGGCTGAGGCAGGAGGATCGCTGTGAGTTCGAGACCAGCCTGGGCTACATAGTGAGTTCCAGGTCAGTTTCAACTACGTAGTGAGACCCTGTCTCAATAGCACTAAGGACTAAGGAGGCTGAGGCAGGAGGATCGCTGTGAGTTCGAGACCAGCCTGGGCTACATAGTGAGTTCCAGGTCAGTTTCAACTACGTAGTGAGACCCTGTCTCAAAAACAAAACAAAAACAACAACAACAAAAAAGATTGGGATCACATAAGAAAAAGTGAGCAAGGGCCAGGGATTTAGCGCAGTGGTTCCACCACCTGCCTTGCAAGCGCAAGGACCCAAGTTTGATCCCCGGTACCAAAAAGAAAGAAAGAAAGAAAGAAAGAAAGAAAGAAAGAAAGAAAGAAAGAAAGAAAAAGAAAGAGAGTGAGCAAAAGCATTTTCAGAGACTGTAACTAAGCACACTTAGGAATTCACAAATTCATAAAGTCCTACTACAAACTTCAGGCAGAATAAATAAGAGATGCAGGCCTAGAACCATCATCTTAAAGGTACAAAAAATTTTTTTTTAAACTAAAGACAAAGAGCAAACATTTTTAAACAATCAAAATGAAAATACCCCTCAGAGGAACAGCAGTTAAAATTTTTACTGGCTTTTCAACAGTAACAAGTGGCACTTGTGAGAATAGAATTTCATGCCCAGTAAAAATACATTTCGAGAGTGAAGCAAATCATTTTCCAGGCAAATGAAACTAGAAAAATTCTTCATAATGCACCCACAATTTAAAAGATTTTAACCGCATTACTGGTGTTCTTGCTGCAAAACAAAAGTAAACCGAACAAAGTCAGAGATGTAAGATGGAAGGAAAACCAATAAAAATAGAGGAGTTGGCAAGTTGGACTTTGACCAAATGGGATGTTGGACAGTTACAAGGTGTTTTAGAGGGTGAGATTATCTCTGCCTTTATTAAATGCAAACTATATTTAGTTATATTCTGAAAGAAAAGTTATCTTCACATTACATTTTGGAATGTATACTTTTGCTGTTTGGGGGTCAAGGCAAGCCAGACACGATATGAGAAAAGATTGACAGCTTTTACTACACGATTTTGGAAGTATAAACGAACAAAGAAAGAGTTTATAAAGTAACAGACTGAGATAAAACGCACAAATTATTAGCTAGAACCATATTCAGCCACATGTGGGGTGGGACCTCTAGGTAGACACAGGTGGCACAGAAGGTTCTCATGAGTCTGAAAAAAATAGAGGATGAATTTAGAAATAAAAGCCGAAGGATCTCAGTTTTGGATGAATTTATAAACATGATCAGCTGGCAACAACAGCCCTCACTTTACATTGTGTGTTACAATTTAGATCTAAAATATCCCCCAGCTGTGCCCTGGATCTGGAAGGCGGTTGGATCGTGGGGGCATTACAGCTGCCAGGCTGCTAGGAGGTGGGGTCTGGTTGGAGGGGGGTCACTGGGGGAGTGGCCTGGGGGAGCATAGGCTCGCCCCTGGCTCCTCCCTTCTCTACTTCCAGCCGCCGCCGTGTCCCTGATTCTGCTCTGGAGCCAGGCCATCTGGACTGAAACCTCGGGCCAAAATAAACCTCTCCTCGTTGAAGTTGTATGTGTCCCGGTAACATGAAAACGGCTAAGACATGATGTGAGCTGGAGACATATTCCAAATTCCAAATCCCAATATTTATGATGCCGGAGTAAGGTAAGGAACTGCCAAAAGGTAATCATTTGTTTTGAAAAAAATCATAAGTAGTTGTATTTTCAGGATAATTTATTATTTTTTTAGGGTAATTTAATATTTGAGCCCAGGTTACACGGCCCTCAATGCCCCTTCCAGCCCTGTACTTCTGAGATTCATTGTAAATTCTCATGAGAATTGTTCTGAGGATGTGCCAAGGCGGTTTCCAGGGATTCTACTCCACTGCTCTCAAAGGGATCGTCACCGAACAGAATTATCCTGTCAGCAATGGTACCGAGTGGCCATCGCACCGTATTCCTGTCTCACTCGCTCTGTCTGCTCTGCCAGTTTCTCCCCTTCCCCAAAAACCATGATACTAAAACCATAGCTTATATCACTGACATCCATGGATCGATTCAGGAATGTTCCTTGTTGGTAGGACAAGGTGGCCCGGTAAGTGGACATTTGGCATCAAGTGAGTTTTGTTCACAAGGCTGATCTTTGTCCTTGGAAAGATCGAGAGAGGAAAGACCAGGCAGTCAGCACTCACTTACCTGCTGGAGCTTGGTTCCTACCATAGAGGCACTGCTGTCGAGCACAAAGACCACATTCTTGGGTAAAGGAGGAAGGTCTTTAGGAGCAAAGTAGTGTACAAAATAGCCATTTAGAACCTGGTGGAGGAAAAATCAAGTAAAAATGGAGGGAAATCACCCAGGATCTTCTAGAGCTCAGAGATGGCATGGAACAGATTAGGGTCACATTATACATGGTCCTGATCCTCCAAAGAACTGATTGCTAATTAGTCTTTATAAGGAGAGAATCATCTTTTTAAATTCTATTCATTGTGGGCTGGAGGTGTAGCTCAGCTGAGACAGCTTGTCTAACATGTGCAAGGTCCTGCATTTGATTTCTCAGCACTCGAAACAAAAACAATTACTGATCATAAAAACCAGTTCAACTTTAGTTTTCCATCCCCTTTCACTTTTCTAGTTGAGAATCCTGCTTCTTGAATTGTTTAGCTTTTAGCAAGCATCTTGCCCGACATCGAGGTTATCTATATTCCAGGTGCACATTAATTCATTTTAAAATTCCCACCCTATCTCTAGAGCAATAAAACCTAAAGGGAAGTAAGTTATAGAACAGTTGCTTTTAATTAAAAGGGACAATGAACTAAAATTCTAACCTCATCTAAAACACCGTGGGGAAAACTTATAGATGTCATTGGCTGCACAGATTAATGGAGCAGGAAGTAGGTATCCTTAGGCTCCAGCAAAAGAGTATCAGAATCTCTCTGAAGACATATCATGGGTTAAAACATTTACTAAGAACCAGAAAGATCTTCTGCCCTTAGGTAAGTGTTGGAATCAACATTTCTGAATCTAAAGAAAAACATCAAACTATGAAATACCAGCACGGAACCCATTACCTGGATGTCCCCGACTCTCCGCTCCCTCGTCACGTCATAGCGAATGATGAAATCTCCCAGAATTCCATTCTGTGCAATCTTGGCCTGTTGCACCACATTCGGCTTAAAAACAATGTTGGCAAAAGTTTCGTTTTGGTTGATAGTAGTAGAAGGAGGAGGCCCAGAATCATCTGCAAAGGAGAAATAAACATAATTAATAACTGAACCTACTTTTTGCTTTAAAACAAAATTTCTGGCATAGACACAAAGGATGAGACTTCATCTTGTTGCCTGTTTGCAGTCCACAGGATCTTCTGAGACTCTGTACTGTTAATGGATTACAGTGAAAGAGACACGTTGTCATCAAATCAACCTTCATGACTCCTGTTTAATCTTTTTCTTATGAAAAATCTTTAAAACACACAGAAGTGGAAAGAATAGCAAAACGAAGCCCTCATCTTGAATTTCCGCATTGCTCGCCTGTAACCGTTGTACATTTTGCTGATTATTTGCATCTATTCTGAGATCACTCGTTTTCTTCTAGAATGTTTTAAAAGAAATCTCAGACACCATGCTTCATCCACAAATACCTCAGTGTGTATCCTACCTATAAGTACTTTTTTCTGCCATAGCCACAAAACCTTTATCACAAGTAACACGATTAATGTGCAATGCCTCACTGCCATTCAGTAGGAAGAATTTACTAAATTTCCCAGATTCTCTGAAAGAATTGTCATCATATGGATGAATCGAGGTCACAACGAAGTCTTCACATCGCACTGGGTTTGTTTCTCGAGTCTCTTTTCATCGATGTGTCCCTCCCGTCTACCCTTCTCTAGTGCTATGTTGGTAAACACTGCTTATTTTTTTCTGTGTGATTTCTCACATACTCTATAAATGTTGTTCCTCCTTTCACTTGGTCCTCTCTCCTGATGATTTCTGAACTTGGTTGACATTTTTTTTTTTTTCAGTACCAAGGATCGAACTCAGGATCTTGCCCTGGCGAGGCAGGTGCGGTGCCAATGAGCTAAGTCCCCGGCCCTGGTTGCCATTCTAATGTTAGGAGCAGCGATTAAAAAGTACTGATGCCCAGGCCCAGAGATCCTCACGTAAGTGATCTGAGACACAGCCTAGATAGCTTTGGGACTTTAAGAAATTCTCCATATGGGTAAAATGTGTGGCTACGGTTGTGAAGCACAGCTCAATCCTCTGTACTTACTGGTGCTCTGGGAGTGAGAGGTAGAAGCCTGATTCCATCCAGGTCCAGTGCTAATGAACCGCTTCCTCGGTAATAAACCTTCCTAGATCCCCTCATTAGGGGTGCTCCACGCTTTCTATTCCAGCATTAGAAGGTGCGCAACATCTCCATGTCTACTTTCAGTGATAAAAACACTGACAGCACGCAGGTGTCGTCGGCCTGACCCCTCCCACTATGAAGTCGGGTTTCCACATGATAATCTAACCCATTCTTAGTGATGCCAGGTCCTCCAGTTCACTGAAATTGCAAGATGACCACTTCAGTTTTGCCATCACCCCTTGGAATTAATCGTCCCATAAAGGAAACCTTTCCCTCCTCATTTATTCCTTTCTTTGGTCTCGTGTACGGCTTGCCCAGAAAGCTTACGGCTCTTTACAGAAAAAATCAACCCCAAGGCCCTCCCAAGATGAAACGAGACAAATGAGAATTACAGAAATATTATGAGGTAAATGGATTTGATGTGATTTACAAAAAAACCAGTGTAATGGTAGAGCAAGCAAAAAGGACCCAATTTTTAAATCCCTAACTTTATCACCTATTAGAAGACAGATTTGGGAGATCACCCACCTTTATAAATCCAAAAACACCGATCTATGTGCTTAGCGATAAAAATCCAAATTCTGTGGCCTGCATTCATCATAAAGAACATGAAAATAAAAGTGAATGTTCTCAATCATAGGTACACATGGAGGCTTTTTATCAAGATACTGATTCAAAGCCGGGCTTACAGCCACTGCAGTGTCTGGTTCTCTGTTCCAACTGATACCATGGACTAGAATGCCCAGTAACTTCCCACCTCTAAGTAGCAGAATGAAAAGGAAATGAGGCGGAAGTGAACCGAGTAACTTGTGTTTAAGAAAATAAATTTAAGAACCTTCCCTCTCATCGCTTCTCGGCCTTTTGGCTAAGATCAAGTGTAGAACCTTCCCTCTGCCAAGGGTTTACTCGGCACTAAAATCAAAGGAAGTTTAAATATTTCTTTCAACAGTTATTTTTCAGAGACAATTTAGGTGTAACCTTAGCAGGAACCATAGGTTAAATGAATTCTTCTATTATTTGTACTTAATAAAGGCAGGAATCTTGGAGCGATTGGAGAGCTCGCAAAATTGAAAATTTTATTTTTGTAGAAAAACAGCCATATAAGAGGTAAAATGGGGCCGGGGATTTAGCCAGTGGAGCCACCACCTGCCTTACAAGCGCAAGAACCTGAGTTCCCCGGTACTAAAAAAAAAACAAGAGATATCATGCCTCCAGCCACCCACTCGAAGGAGCTGGGGAAACTGAGACCGAGCACTGACCATGTCACGACCTAGTTCACCAGCGCGATGAGGAGGCCTTGGGACCATCCGGCAAGAGGAGGAGGAGGACGGGGCTGAGCATGGAAAGGGCCTTGGAAACGGGAAACTGGACTTCTCTGGGGTCATCTCACACCGGTGGTTCCCAGTAAAGCACCAGAAATGAGAGGCACAGCTGTACAACAGCTGAGAACTTGGGATCACGAGCCAGAAGGACCTGAGTTTAAACACTGGTCCTATCTCTTCTCAACTGTCAGACCATGGGCAAGTTACGAAGCCTTGGTTTTCTCGTCTGTAAGATGGATTAATAGTCCTAAGGACACACTATTGAAAAGATTAAGTGGTGAAATACTTAGCACCACGCTGGATCACAGTAAGCAGTATGCTAGCTAAGATTGTTGCCAACCTTAAACGTGTACAAAATGGCAGAAGAAATTAAACATAGGACTATAAAACATGTTAAAGTTAGGGTAACACATGGCAATAAAAATGAAAGCATTACTACTGCTATCACAACATAGTTGAATCTCATAGTCATTTTGAATAGAAAAAGTCAGACACAGAATAGATCAGAATAGAAAAAGTCTATGCTTCCATGTACCTCAAGTTAAAAAGCAAACACTTTGTATCTGCAGCAGTTGAAGTGGGGTGGGTACTGACGGGACATGGAATCGGGCATGGTGACTCACACCTGCAATCCCAGCACTCTGAGAGGCTGAAGCAGGAGGATCTCAAGTTCAAGCTCAGCCTGGGTGATTCAGCAACTTCGCAAGACCTTGTCTTAAAATTTTTTTAAAGGTCTGGACATGAGGCTCAGTGTAAAGGCCCTGGGTACCACAGGACACCACACACACACACACAGCAAACAAACCAACAGTGGAACCTTTTGGAATGGCCTGTTTTTTGATGCGGAAGGTAGTTGTACGAGTGGAAATATATATATAATACTCATCAAGCTATACGCATGAAGTTTGTACAGTTTATTTTCATATTCTAATGCTTTTAAAAATTAAGCTTGGGAATTGGAGAGCAGAGAAGGCTGAACAGGAGCTCCCTGGCACAGAACATAAAAGTATCATTTGCCAAACGGACCCCTAGCTGCACTTTTCCTCGGGATAAATGCGTTTGCGGAGGCGTTTACATGCGGATTCAGTGTATCCCGAATGACTCCACCTGGCAGAATCCGGACTGGGGATGAGTTCCCGGGAAGCGCTCATCAGAGCAGAGCCGGTGAACTCTAGGAAAGGTGCTCTCTCGGCCCTGGCAGCTCCCACACCGCGTCACATTAGCTGCCTCCAAGCCAACTGGGAAGTGGCCCACGGGGGAGGAGAGGAGAGGGCCTCACGGTGTGACCTGGACCAGCCGCGGAGGCACCACTGAGGACTTGCTACAAACACCAGCCTTTTCCCCAGAAACCTGGAATCAAACTGCCGGGCAGGGGCGCAGCGACGTGCGCTTTAACAAGTCCCCGGGTCACTCTGGTTTCTGCCCTTGAAACACGGGCACATTGCCTCTCACGCCACTCACACACCTTACACACAGGAAACGGTTGATAAAGTTTGCTGTGTGTAACCAGGCGGCGCTTAGATTTGCTCTAAAATCCCACAAGAGGTCGGATTCTCTTCACATTGCCAGCGTGTCCCTACTTCGTGCCGCTTCAAATCCCCCTCATGAAAAATGCTTTCCACAAGTGCCTGAATTAGTACATTCATGGCCAAAAGAAAGCACTGAGGATTAAAAAGTATAATTTCTCTCTTCATAATTCATTTGACTGGGCTCTTTGATATGGACCACGAGAAGGGATGGCGCCTTGTTCTTCTGTTTCCTGTTGCCTCGGGTGTCTGTTCATTGATGATGCAAATTCATGAATTCATCTAAACGGCTCACTGTAGGGGCAGAGTGGGTGGAGCCTCAGCTTGGTTCCTCACCAAGAAGTCCAGCTCCCCGTTATGGCTTCCACCCATGAAGCACCAGGCAGTGAAAGTGACCTAACGACCTCTCCACTACCTACTATAGGAAAAACTCTACCAGGAACAATTCCAGAGAAATAGGTCCAAAAAATAAAACCCTTTTTTAATTAGAGGACAAAACAAAAACAAAAACAAAAAACAACAACTTGCCACTCAGGTCAGCACGGACTTTTTCACAGCCACTGACCAGAGTTCTGAAGCAGAACTGATTTATTCTCCTTCCTGTGGCGTGCGGCTTACACTGCCAGTCGCCATGCAGTGTGGCAGCAGGCTGCAGAGTCGGGGGATGCGGCTAAAGACGGGAAGGGTGCAGGGCAGAGTCAGGGCGACCGGAAGAGGGGCAACGTCGACCTTACTGTGCTAATGCGAACCCTTTCCTCTCTTTTGGCTTCCTTTCCCCCTTGCCCACCTGGTTAGTGGGAGGCGTGAACTGCAGTAACTGCTCCAACTGTGGAAGCCGAGTCCTCTCCCGCCATCTTCCTGCTTTTATTTAAGCTCTAATGGTGTCACACACGATAAGCCTGGCACTCCTCCTGGCTGCGGTCCAGTCTTTTGGAGCAAGAAGTGAGGTATGACTTTTGGGAGCCACTTAACACACGGAAAGTGGGCTCCAAGTGTGACAGCCTCCTCATGGCTGGCTTGGTACTTCTGACCTTCAGTCCCACATCAGTTAATTGGGAACAGACCCACAATCGCAGGATTATCGTCACGATTGAGTGAGATCACGTATGTAAGGCCCTGAGCTGGACCCCGGTGCATTGTAACTGCTCAGTACATCCTCGGCCACATCCTCTCCCCCTCAGAAGTCACCTGTTGTGCTCTCTGTCCATTTTATAAAGGCAACGTAGGGGGGGAAATCATTCTTTGATAAAACGCATTTTATTTTATATCATGACCATTCACTGAGAACTTGGTAAAACGATCATTACTTGGAAAGGACAGACACGTCATAATGCACATTCACAGCCGGTAATTTTGAAATGTTTATATATAAAGAACAATTTCTATAGAATATAGCGGAGTCTGCCAGTGCCCAAGAGACCCCTGAAGTGGCACACAGAATGGCTTTCGCTCCATTCTCCAAGAAGTCTAAACAATGTTAAGAACCACATCCACAAATGCTATTAAATATTCACCCATTTGATTTTATGCTGTAGTGACAAAGTGTACGGGGAGCGGGGAGGGACAAAAGGATCAAGAGAGCAAATGCATGTCCTTAGCTTTGTTTTAGAATATGGATGTTATTCAAATAAACACTCTCCTCCTGGACAACCACACAGAGGAAAAAAGAAAAGCAATCACTAAGAAAAATGTCAAAGGGTTTTGAAAAAGCTTTAAGAGCCTAGAACTGTGCTCAAAGCCATTGGTTTGAAGCTACAGCCATGGCCTCCAGGGGTCCATGGACAGAGGGAGCTGCTGCCTGGCCTGTTTCCTGTGGGCCTTTGGTTTGGCTGTTATTGGAGAAAAGCCACCGACACCTGGGCTTTACAAAAGGATTTCCAAACAAACACTGCCTGCTCATTTCCCCTTGGAAAAACACGAAATCCAAAGAGGCAATTCCTTAAATTTAGGGCAGGCAAAAATTCTGTGAATGGGGCTGGGGATTCGCCCGTGGCAGTGGTACCAAGCCTGCCTCACAAGTGCGAGGTCCTGAGTTAGATTCCCCAGTGCCAAAAAAAAAAAATAAATAAATAAATAAATATATATATATATATAAAGAGAGAGAGAGAGAGAGAGAGATAGATATACTGTGAACGATTAGACAACCACCCTTTGGTGGTAGGAATAATGACAAAACTCATGCAAACCAGCAGAGTATTAAAAGAGAAACTAGTAAAACTGAGGCAATGAGAAGGAACTTGGCTATTTCCATAAGTCTCTTATTATATACAGTTTTCTTCTTGGAAAGATCTTTTCGGCCTTTTACTAATATTTGGGAAATAGCATCACATGATAGCAACATAAGAGTATATTTGCAAATTTATAGCTGAAGCAGTTCAAATTCAACTCCTGTTTTATAATTAAGGGTTTGACAAGTTTCTTGGCAAATTAGCTTTCTTCACTCCTTGGTCCATGTTCTTTCTTCCTAAAACAATGCATTTACTGTGCCCATTTTTCACATCTGATCAACTTCCCAGGTGAGATTCTGCGTGAACCATATTACGCCCCTCTCCCATGAGCATGCAGAAGTCCCAGGAGCAGCTAATTCGCAAAATGTACCATCCTTGCTGACGTCGCTTTATGTCCACTGAAAACCGCAAACACCAGCTGCTCTATGGGTGTGGCACTGAATCACGTGCAAATTCACTGAGAGCAGCTCTGGAACACCAGAGGCGTAGAGAACTGCGAGCCTTCTGTTAAGTTCCTTTATATTCTCCTCTCGCAGGCAGGCAGACCAGGGCCTCTGAGAAAAACTATGTGGTATTTTATAGATTAAATCTTACAGGAGCTTGTTTTTTAGTGAAAATGCTTGGCCTGTGAAGTTTTATTATTTATTATTTAATTTTTATATGATTTTACTCTGTTATTATATTTTATATTATTTTTTGTTTGCAGTCCATAATAATTACTTTCCTGTTTCTTTTCTCATTATTCAGAATCATGAACTCTATCTATCCCTCAGGATGGCCACGATCCAGGAAACAGGAAATAACAAGTGTTGGAGAGGACATGGAAAATGAGAACCCTTATAACCCTACTGTCCAGGATGTAAAATGGTGCAGTTGCTACCTCAGAGAAACAAAAACAGAATTACACATGACCCAGCAGTCCCATGTATGGGTCTATCTGAAAAAAATGAAAGCAGGATATCAAAAATA